CTTTGGGATCAATAAAGAATCATCCATCCATCCATCCATCCATCCACCTATCCATCCATCCATCTATCCATCCATCCATCCATCCATCCAACCATCGACTTCTTTTTCTCAGTCCAGGGATATTTTAACCGTCTTCCAGATGCACATTTACTCCTGCAGCCTATTCACTATGGAGGCCTCTGACCACCAGAGTAACTTCAGCTGCACTGACAGACTGTGATGATGGCGAATTTCCAGCATTGCCACGTGGGGGGGGGGGTGAAATATCCTCAGGGCTAAGGAGTTTCTCAAACTGCTATACACCTAGTGCTGGTCAGCACTTCCTCACAGAAGCTCCAGCCTCCCCATCCTGAGAGATGAAGCAGTTTGAAAAAACATCCTACTCCACCAAGTAGGGCTGGGCGATACGGCAGAATATTTTATCATGATCATTTTTTAATCAGTCAATATTGAAAATTATTATGATATAATTGAAGTCATTATTTTTTTACTTCCGGCAAGTGTTATTGTATTATTGATTTTTTTCAAATCTAATTTAATTTTAGTTCATTTTTATGTGTGGCCTTATTACGATTTTTATTTTGAAGACATATTTCAATTTTGTTTTATATAATTTAGTTTGAGTTTACGTTTTCGTAATTTAATTTTCTGGGATTGATTTAAAGTTTAGAGCTATTTCATGTGTCTGATCTTCAGAGATTCCCACATGTACTAATATCCTCAAAATAGGCAAAATATGGTCTAGGCATTATTAATGGTCATTAAAGATTTAAGAAATCATTACTTAAACAAAACAGTATTAGCAAAATGAAATCTAATTTGAAATAGATGAATCATACGAAAAGAAACGTTGTGTCTTGGCGTGTAACACTAAGAAATGCGAATAGAACGTTTTGGTGCTAGGTTTTTGTCAGACTGTCTCGTTGCTAGTTCCAGGGAAGGTACTTAATAATGAAAAATAAAATGCCTGTTGTGTTTTTAAGCAATGCAGGACACAACTTGTCCCATACTTCTTGAGATTGAAAGTGGAAACCGTAATTGCTGACATTTGTACACAGTGCATATTACCAGTCTGTTGCGTTTTGGACAATAAACTGCACATTTTCTGCCACACCTTCAACGTCTTTTGACCTCGGTTATTCACAATATTTTCTTTTTTAAATGATGATGTGGCTGCTGAGCTGTTTTCACTGACACTTGATGTTTCCTCTGAGTGCTTATCTCTTCTACGATATTAGCAAAGCTCTACAACTTTAAATCTATCCTTGCAAATAAAATACCTGATTGGCGTAACAGTCACCCACTAGCTGTGTTCTCTTTGCACTTCTTGAGACTGTCGATGAGAAAACCTCGGTTACTGCCAGTCTGTGTGGTGCTGACTGCCTTCTGCTGGTGCCCGGGGCCTTCAAACAGGGCAGTCGCATCACAGCGGGTATGGATTAGATTTTGTGGAATTTAAGGATTTTTATCACACTCTATTTTATTTTAAATTTAAAAAACAAAAGTGGCTGTCAATCCCTACAACTGGTGCACATGCAGAAAAATACACAAATGAGAAAATCAAAGCAAAACAGCAAGGCTAACAATCGTAGGTCTAGTTAAGCCAGGGGTCGGCAACCTGCGGTTCGCGAGCCACGTGTGGCTCTTCTCAGAACGACAGACGCATTCACATTTTCACGTCAACATATTATGATAATACTTTCGTAAATATAAATAATTTATTTCTGGGTTAATATTAATTTTTCATTTAGATATTTCTTAGCTATATGTGAATGAAGCGGTCCGTCGCGCACTAAACTGCATAATTTACATCTTCCTCAAAGTCATTCTCTACGACTAGAGTACGTCTCCGGTCAAATGGTATGCTTTCCGGAGTTTTCTTCAGTGTCCGAGATTCGATGTAGGCTTCAAAGTTTATTGGGATTCTGAATTCTTTCCAATACCTTTTGTAGTAAATCGTCACCATGCCTTCCCAGGTCTTTGTAAAAATATTTTATTTTCTCCGATTTACATATTATAGCCAGCTGAGTTTGGTGTGGTGAGTACATTTTGCACTACTTGGAAATATTGTGATATTAGTCACATTTGCGCTGTTACATGTCTGAGTGATTTAAAACTGAGAGCCCCTCTCCCTCCCCCGAAATAGTATATCTTTATTTTTTTAAAGTACTTCAAGTTTTGTTTTTGTGTTAAATGCATATATACTGATATTGCATTAAAAAAATCATATCTCAAACCCTCTTCTCTATCTATTGCAGCTCTTTGTAAATCTTGTGCCAGACATTTAAGATAAAATGGCTCTTTGCTTTAAAAAGGTTGCCGACCTCTGAGTTAAGCAATGGAGAGTCAAAAGCCAGAGAGTCAAATGTACAAACGGGAAACCAAAAGTAATGGGGAAAAGCAACAATCTTGATCTATTAAACAAACAAAAGTGAAATTTTGTAAATACAGTATGTGCAGTAAATACAGAATGTACATAATCACAACTTAAATGTGATTAAGTGATCAAAGTAACACCGTAACCTAAACACAACATCTAATTCTAGTATCAACCCTGACCTTAACCTCGAACCCTAATATCAAACCTAACCCTATTCCTAACCCTCATAATGTAGCCTGTGCATTAAAAGCAAACACAGTGGATTACTATGCTTTTCAATGGACTAAGCCTAACCTAACCTAACCCTAGGTCTAACCCAAATAGAAATCCTAACCCTAACAATGATCCTAATACTGACCCTAGGTCTACCCCTAAACCATAATCCTAAACATAATCCTAAACCTAACCTAACCTAGCTAAAAACACTATTCTGGTCCCTCAAACATCTTGAGAAAGAAGAAGGAAAATAGGAATAATGTACCCTGTGTATTATAAGCACAACACAGTGGAGTACTATGCTTTTCTGTGCACTAAGCCCAAACTGCCCCTAACCCTAGGTCTAACCCAAATAGCAACTCTAATGCTGACCCTAGGCCTAACCCTAATAGCAATCCTAACCCTAACTCTAAACCTAATTTCAAACTTAACCCTAGATTTAACGCAGTATCCAATCCTGACATGGGTAATAGCATCTTCTGAGGGGCGGCCGACTTAGCAAACTAATAAAACCCCCGGTTGACAAATATCGTGTGTTATATTAAGTGTTGTATAAGTCAGTAATGACTGAGAAAGGACAAGCACTAAAAACAAATTAAATCAACTGGATCTGCCATCTGAATCTGGATATTTTAATGCCAACCCAAATATCCTTGATCCCAATTAGTCTACTGTGCAATGTATATGTGAACCTGACTTTGATTATTTTACCCTATACACCATCAAGACCTTAGGCCACAAAGCCTAGTACTTTTAAGTTAGAGAGCACCTTCCTTGTAGCAGATTAGGTAAACGGTCTTGCTCATGAGCCCAATGGTGATATAATTACTCTTCCAGGCACCGAATTTGAACCCACCATCTTCCAGACACAGGCTGAGTCCCCTAATTGGTCAACACACCATTAAAGTGGTCATCAACAACTCTGCAAAGACACTGCACATGATGCGCAGCACCTGACCTCAGTAGCTGAACTCAGGGCTGGCGTGTTCTTCGGCAACAACTAGCAAACGTCACCTTCGACCCCCAACCAAGAAAAGGAGTATTGCACATGACGACACACTGTAGCACTCACACTAAGCAAGGGTCGCCTTCTGCCATGTTGGTGCAATTTCCTGTCTGGTGCGTATGATCAGTCTGTGCCCTTTTGCTACATTTGTCATGGTAGGGTGTACTGTTGTCAGCTTCAACAACAGCAGTATTCACCACAAAGATAAAGGATCATTTATGATTTCGAAAACTTTTATGTAGCAAACGTTGCCAACAGTAGTTACGCGACATCCTAAGATTGGAACTCACTGAAAAGACCCATAACGATGCGAAAGTTTGTGAGGACCACTTTGTCATATATATACATAGTAAGATTATTACTAAATTACTAGCATTTCTATGTATTTGTTTCCGTAGAAACCACACCTCATGATTCCCATTCTATTTATGGTTGCAGCGACTATGTAACCTAATGTGAATACAAGTAATTTTATGGCTTTTGTGCCTCATAATTTATGAGAGGCAAGCTGATGACATAAAATTATTGTTTTAAAACAAACTTCTGGGCACCAACAGTGAACATGGGACACAGCAAGGGCAAGAGTTTGCCAACATCACAGGCATCAAAAGAACAATGCAAAAAGAAACAACTCAGACAGTCCCTTCAGCTAAATGAAAACCGCACATTCAGGGATAATACAAATTGATCAGCAATTTACCTTTACAACACATTCACTTAGATTTGTTGCAGTAACAATGACAACAGGCACAGCACTGTAGTGTTAATGTTGCAGCACAGTGCAACATTATTGCTTAAAGTTACATAATGAAAACAATATATATAATTTATATAATAAATGGTGAAAATTAAGCATGCAATTTATACTTGTACTTTCCTGTGAAATATTTCATCCACGCTTTTCCTCTGGAGTACATGTACCCAGCCAGATATAAAGAAATTGAATGTCCTGACCTTTATTCGCTTTCATTTGCTTCAGTGTTACCCATGATGTTTGAAAAACCAGATAACTAACAATACCCTCATAATGCACAGTGAGCAGCTCACAACCATTTTGCTTTCAGTGTGTATGGGTCACATCCAAAAATCACAATGCTTTTATTTAGTTTAATTTATTTTGGTTTTATATAACATTATTTCGTCACCATATGCAGTGTACTGAAAACGACTGCTGTGACAATAAAGCCGTACTTGACTTGCTTGCATTCATTTGCTCGGAATACTCCATCACCAAGACTGACAATGCACCAAGATGGCGGCACAAGGTGATTATGCAATACTACTGCAACCCTCCCAGTGTGCTCCTAGTGGCCTGTTGCCCCCAGCAAATGCCAGGGCGCCCCTGACTGAACTCATTAGTGACTCCCTGTCAACCAATCAAAGTTATGCAGCAGATACCTGGGCTTCCTCTCCACATCTGCTGTCCCAGTGTGCATCAAAGGTGGAGAAGTCACACATGTTGCTTCCAAGCTCCTTGGTAACAGAGTAGAAGGCATACACAACCACGTCTCCAGGTCTGTGAATTTGGAGTAGCTCAGCATTTCCAGAACGCTGGAGATCAAAAAGAATTAAATTATTCATTAACATCCATTAGTAATTTGCAATCATTCATAGCAGTTTCTAATTATATTTTGAATTTAGATATGCCTAATGAAAAAGAACAAAAGAACAATAAACATGCTGTTACTTTCCCCATTTTCATGAATGGTTGGTGAAGTCCTTGATAGCCAATAGTAATCCAGGTGCTAGTTGAACGGCTCTGCAGCGTTGGTCAATAACACTGCACTAAGGTGATGGCAGTTTCTTTAATCCCTATCAACAGGAAGTGCGTCCAGCACTTTCATTTCCTAGCAACAACCTCATCAACATGGTTCCTCAGCAGCAAAGTACAATGGAGTTTTATCAGAATCAGAATCAGCTTCATTTCACCAATTACAAGTATGAACAAGAAAGCTGTTCTGGTGTATTTGCCTGGTCATACATATTATGCAGCAAAATAGAAATAATTATTGTGGATCAATAGAACACTATCAACATAAACTATCAACATACACATTAATTGATTTCACAGCTCTTGGAAAGATGCTGCTTTGTGAGCCTTAGAATTGTAGTTTGGAACTGACAATTTATAAGTTTTGTATTCAAGCCATAAAATACCTTGACTACCAAAATTTTCAACTGAATCATCAATAATCATCATGATCATGTTATCAGTACATCTGTCCTCTGCACTCTGCTTTACTATGTACAGTTGCCAAAGTTGCATACAAGTACTTCTGGTTTGTTACAATTACTTCATTATTTCCACAGCTTAACCTAATAAGCTGGGTACTTAAGATAAAATTATTTCTTATGCCACAATAACACCAGCAATAATAGCACTGTGAAAAACCACAGATACATCCAAATTACACTTGCCACATAAAAATCTGGGACTATTGATTCTGATAAAAATTGAATTCCAGAGTAATACATTTGATATTGTTAATACATAATATCTCAACATTCAATCAAATCAGATATTTATGCTGAATTGTGACACTATTCAAGGAAAATCTAGGACATGGTTTTACTTTCCAGAAGTTTCAGCACAAATCTTAAGAACGTTCAACATTCTGATATTATTGACATAACCACAACTAATCGAGGCAGCGGTCCTTTTACAAAAACAATCGTACTTCCTATTCTAAGACCTTTATACTTTGTTCACTTTTTAAATCCATTTATAGGACATAGACACATGACAAAAAACTATTTCACATGCAATTTGCCACTTCTGTGCATAATAGAACAGCTCAAAATGAGTGTTTTGACTGTATGTACTGTAGTGCTTACCGGCTACTAAGGACCAATATAAAAGGGCCAAGTTGAAAATCGATGACATCATAGCATAGCCATTTCTTAAGAGGAGTACAACGGCATACATTCAGTAACAGGTTAAACACACCTTACAGTTCAAATGCCTCAGGAAATGCATGTATCATATTCCGCTGCATCCATCACACGGGGTAGGATGAACCGTATGCAGAAAAAACATATTTCAGCCATAGGTATTATTACCTGTCTTCTCCCATCCCAGGAATTTCCTCTTTCTCCTCAATAGCCTGAAACACACAGGATGTCCTTTGTTCGTTGGGAACATGAAAGCATTTTTTATCTGTCTCCAGGGACATTTTCTGCCATCACTCTGCTGGAGGAAAAAAGAGCCAATGTTTAAGGAAGCAAATGCTGTCAAGTGAGAGTGAAAACACAAATCTGCCTTGGCATTTTTAACAACCTATTTATTAAGTGAGCAAATGTTAGCAAGACATCAATCAGATCCTAAATTCCATTCGTACAGTATCAAGATTCCATCAATAATAAACTATTTGAAAACAGTACACTAAGTATTTTTCCACAGCTGTACAAAATATTAATAGATAACCAATGTTCATATCCTGCACATACCTCTATCAAGCTACGAATGAAATGATCATTAAAAGAATTCGGCCTCTTTCAGACACTGATAAAACTCCACGTGGCCAATGTTTTGGCCCTGGAGTCGTTGAGGCAACACCCTGTGTAAAGTGTAAAGTGGGAAAACGGGTTACAGCAATCCAGTATTTGTACACAATGATAAACGTTATTCGTGAAAAAGCAGTTTAGTTTCTTTGTCAAGCTTAAATGGCTGTGTGAATCTTGAATCAGATTTTCGATCATAACTAACATATTGTGTTCTTTTTTGGGGTGAAAAAACCTCGTAAACCCCGTCACCCCATTGATTCAACAAAGAGCTCCGGTTCTGCCTTTAGCACTGCCATTTTACCGACCATTTTTAATTACCCCGCTCCCCAAGCAGATCCTATTCACCACTGCAGCATTCAACGAAAAGAAAACACACGCGATAAAGTTTCCTGTCCTCTCTCACTTTCTCACACCCTGTCTTTCTTCGCAGCCCAAATTATCTGCACCTAAAACTTTAAGCTAAAGTCATTCTTCCAACTTTTTAAAACGAGGATGCTTAGAACTCCTCTTTTACTAACATTTTTTTTTTACCTCTTTCTTTGTCCTCCATCTCTGCGAGTCTTGAACTTTTATGAAGGCACCAAATCAAAACAGCTGTTGCTTAGGCAGTCCTTTTGTGTACTTTTCTTGAACTTTCTCTGGTTACTTCTTTGTTGAAAACCGATCGCCAGTGCTCTTCATTCGATTTCAAAATTTACTATATCCCTACAAATACCTACATTTAGAAAAAAAAATAAAAAATCTTGCCATAACCGTGCCCGGTTAGGCATCAGGAAATGACCCAACCTCTCCACTCTTGTCATCAATAATCAGGCTCCGCTGCGAAGACACATTACATACGGTCTGAATGCCAAAAGCGGAAAAAGACATTCAATCGATAAAATACGTTCTCTGTTACAGAACCATAGCTCAGCGTTTGGTGGGAAATGATCTATATTTGGACGTCTAGGATACAACTATTAAACAGATAGAATTACAGTGTGGATTCCTCCATCAAATTTTCAAAGGGATGTCTGGGGAAAAAGATAACTATAGACAGGAAATATTTATGTCGTTCTCCGCCTAAATTACAGGACTGTAATTAAAACCCTGCAATTTAGATAAACTGTACTTTCCATGCTAAGTCTACCAATTGAACCACATGAATCTTCTTTAAAAATAATTAATATATGTATAAGTAGTTCAATTTTTTAAAACTGCAACTTTTAACTGGAGTAAATACTTCAAATCCATGTTGACTATCCTCATGGTTAGTTTTTTAATATTAACGCTCTGAGTCTGACCGAGGCCTGTTATACACTTTTGAGTCTATCATTCCTTGACATATTTATATATTTCATCAATCTATAAAACATTGATCCCAAAGTGCTACATATGCTTATATTCAGCACAAACTCAGCACAGAACATTAAGAATGTCATTAATCTATTTTTTTGTTTACAATGGAATTTTAGGTGCACTCATCAATACACATACGCTGACTGTACACCATATATTATGTTAGAAGGAGTGCTACAAAAACTGTGGTTTTACGGCTTCATTATTTTCTGTTTTTCCTTTGATAGAATATCTTCACGTACTGTGTTTATATTCCAATTTCACTGTTATCACTTTTAGCAAATTTACTTAGCAAATAATATGATATGTGACAATGTGGTAGGAAACAATAATCATCGGGTATAGAATTAGTTTATAAAAGATGAGATGCAGATGTTTTGAAATTTAAAGTACAGCAGAAAAAAAATCAGCTATGGGTAGGTTTCTCAAATGTTCTGTTTTTCATATTTACTATATAGATAGTTGATTTGACATATTTCCAGTTACTTATTATGTACATGTTGGTGTTTGCATGTATCATAAATATTGTTGATCACTGAAGACGTGGAGCTTTTATGTGTGAATTCTTCAGTTTTACTAACCACAAGCTCAAAAATGATCGGAAAAACAGGACTCAAGAAACCTCTGCATAAACACCAGTCTCTATTTCGAAGCTGCCATTAGTGTTGAGTTGGACCCAGAAATAAGAATGCAAGAGTGATGACTGGAAGACTGAACACAGTAGTATGTGAATAAAAATACATGATTTTTCACTAGCTCCGAAAGTACAGTTGATCCACTGGGAAAAAAACTTGAATAATTATCTTGATTGACTGAATAATCATGTGACAGTTATAGAGTTCCCGTTCTGTTGGGTTATTGACAGGTACAGTAGTTATGCCGCCCCATTTTCATTCAATCTATTCGAACCGTGCTTCAAATGTGAGTACTGAATTTATAAACGTGCATGTTGTATAGATTTATGGCCACATGAGGGGGCTCTGACCACGCCACGCTAAGTGATGGAATTAAGCGTAACGTAAATGAGAACATGATGGATCTTCGATACCTCCTGGATTAGCCTACGCGCTAAGTACATATGTTAAAATACAAATTTATATTTTGTATAGCAGAAGCAAACAAGGTGTGCTGTACGTTTATAGAACAGTCACCCCGGGGCAGCATTTTTATTTTAGGTATAGGTGTGACTGCATGTTTACCATATTGTAATTCGTGGAGTGAAATGATTTTCCATGATACACCAATCGGAATAATTCAGGGTCGAATAATGGAATATAATAAACAAAGAATGATTTCTAATTCGTGGAATGGGTTGCTGTGCATTTCCACGGATTAGTATTTATTTCACATTACAAAGGAGGCATTTTGACAAGCAGCAAATGAACGAACCATTTCCACCCGGTACCACTATACATACATAAATAGACACTTGATTTTATTTATTTTCTTGTTTTATGATGATGTTTGAAGATGTTCTATAATATATAGTATTAATATAGCACAATATATAGTGTATAGTAAAATATAGTATTATAGTGTACTGTCCTTTTCCATTGTGGTATGGTTTGGTAACCTCAACCTTGCAGAGAGAAATAAGCTTGGCCGGCTTGTCAGTGTAGCCTGTAAGGTCATTGGGGTAACTCAAACCCAGCTTGGTGACCTGTATGACCGTCATGTGCTCAGGAAGGCATTGGCAGTACTGGATTATAATGACCACCCCCTCTACAGGGAGTTTGTGCTTCTACCTTCAGGTAGAGTATATACAGTAGACTTCCCATACACAGGACTAAAAGATATAACCTTTCTTTTGTTTCTGTTGCTGTTAATATCTTGAATGGGCACAGATGATGTCACTGATGGACTTGACTATTTCTGTTCTGGCACTTCTGCTTTCCTAGTCTCTCCATGTAGAAATCTTGCACTGTGGCATACTGTGTACTGGTTTGTGTTGTGGTTTTTGTGGATGGTTTGCTTTGTATTATGTATTGGTCACTGTCTCTATGTTGGCATTTGTTTTCAATGGTTGTATTCATTTACGTATTTTGTTGTATTTCTTTTTAAATGCCTGGCTGCATCTTAAATTTCCCCTTTCCCTCCCCGGTGGGATAATAAATTTGACTTGATATATATATAATATATATATATATATATATATATGAAACTAGATTTTATTTTATCTATAGTAACATACAGTATATAGACAGAATAATCACAAGACATCCAATAGAGTGTCATCCTGAATGTTTAGTTTAAACGATATAAATCCTTGGAAAATATTTTGCTTCCAAATTGAAATGTGGACAGCAAATGGCTTTGGAATTTTTCAATACTGCACCTGTGCCCTTAGTGTCTGCTGCAGTCATGCCCATGAACACTTGTATTAGAAAGACATCATGTCTGCAGCCAAGCTGTGATGCCCAGAGGGCTGTCAGATGTTCTGAAGCGACGTCGGTATCTCCTATTGGATGACATGCCAAAAGGAAGCCAGTGCAGTTGCTGCTCCGGAAACATCTGGCTGATGCTCCAGTTCTTCAGCAGGTCAGTAGATATTTTGTAAGTCAGCGAAACAGCAAGTGTGGGAAGAAAAGCGCCGAGAGAGGAGCCCAGATTTCACTCTCCGCCAGCAGATGGCCATAAAACAGTAGAGGCAGTGAGGAAATGCCCCTCCAATTCACAGTTTCCATGGGGATTGCACAAGGCAGTGGAGAACTACCTCATTTCCTGGTTCCCAGAGTAAATATATAAACCCCCCATTTTTCACAGCTACAGTGAAGTGGTGGACTACGAGTAAACCTACTTAAGAGCCGGCCCTGCTGAAGCACATAGAGCAGAACCTCAATAGTTGAGTGTCAGAACTGCAGACCAGACCGGAAAAATCAAATTATTAGTTATAAATAAAACCCTCGGAATGTATCTGACATTAAAGCATCACATTATTACTGTACATACGTCACTAACCACAAATTACAGCTAAGTAATGATTCCAAGATCAACACAAGCAAACACTAAAGTTTTTAGAATAACACGAGGTAAAGCCTCAAAAAAGTCAGCTAATAACCAAATACGCACATTCTAATGGCTGTCTGCTAGCTAAACTTTGGCGGCAAAAGGAACATAAACTTTGCTTCTGGTGTCATCAGTACGTTTGTCATCAAGTAATATTTTTAGTCTTTATTTACATACAGAAAACCTAGATACGAAGTCTCATATCTTTATGTGCTGTCGATAAGTAGTTTAAACTAGGATGTAAATGTATTATATATGAACAGGGGTGGCGCTAGAGATTTTGAGCCCCAGGAAAGCATATCATATTGGACCCCCAACTGAGACCAATCCAATAACGTTCCAGTATTTTTAGGGCTCCCTCCTAACTTTCCCCCTCTTTACGGCACCTCTGTATGTAACTCACGGTCAGATTGTTTGTACGGTTACATTTCCTGACAAATAATACGCATGAAGAAAAGCTCTACACTAATTCACAGTCCTCTCTCTCTGTTTTCTAAAATGTCTGCCAAAATGAACTTCCAAGAAAGACAGTGTGACCCCCTGAAAGCAAGTGCAGATCTCGCATGAGGAGCTTTGATCAGCGTCTGTGGTGCAGCCCGACTGACACAGTGTTCTTCATGGGGCGGCAGGAAACTGATGCTTTCTTGTGGATTCTAAAGACCTCCAGCACTCATGATCAAGAATCCAGCTGGGACTCAGTTGTCTGCAGCCTTCTAGTCAAGAGAACACAATATGCTGGAAGCCAATCAAGGCAGCACATTTAGAGCTGAAGAGCACATGGGCTTGTGAACCAGAATGCCTATTGTGTTTTAAAACCACTTTCGGTGCAAAGTTCCTTTCAAAATGTGTCCATTTCTTACTGATTTATGTGTAACTAATTTTAATCCTCTGTCTCAACAGAAGTATTCTTCGACTTGTGATGTAAATCCTAATGGCATCATGTAACTAGACAGAAAGCAAGTGATTGTTGAACTTAAGTTAATATAGTTTGTTCCTGAAGTGTAGTTCTGTTTGTGCAGTGCACTCTATTCCTGAAATACAGTTTTCACCTAAACGAGAACTGTTCATTACAAAATGCTGAAATGTTAGCCTCCAGTTTCAAATTGTAAATATACAGTATCATGCAACAGGACAGAACAACCCAGAAAAATCAGCGGTGCAAATCTAACACTGATTGTGCTCAAGTAAGTCACCATAGGTGTTTTGGTATGTTGGTGGCCATTAGGGACACATCCTTTCGGCAGAGTCAGAGCTCGTCTCACCAAGCGTATGTCAGGAAAGCGGAGTGCAGGATGTCTCGTGCGCAGATGAAAAGAGGAGCGCTGCGGCACATCTGTCTGCAATTAAGGCGCATACGCAGCCCCATGGGTGTGCCGGACGCTGACTGCGCAAGGGCGAGAGCTGCCGCAGCTGCAGGCAGAGACTCTGTTACCCTCTCTGAGACACCGTGGCTCCGCAGCCGATGAAAACCACATTTGTCTCCGTCCCCCTCGGTGCCTCCATTTTCCCTGCCAGCCCCTCTTTTTCACAAACACATGATTATTAAATGTTGTGATCCGACCCCAGAAGTAAGACCAAAAAATGTATC